CGCAGGGGGTGGGCAACTCCAGCCCTCCAGATGTTGTGGAACTACAAGTCCCATGAGACTTTTAAAACTCCGACAACTACGTGCTTGGCTTCCAAGGGCCGGAGTTTGCCTAGCCCTGGCCCAGCACAATTTAGAAAATGAGGGCAGCCATGCATGCTTCTCTCCTTCAGCCCTGTATTAAGAAGGGGATGTACTGCAGAGACAAGTCTATAATTGTGCCTCTATATAGATCGCTGGTTCGGCCACACCTGGAGTACGCGGTCCAGTTTTGGTCGCCGGTACTGAGAAGGGATGTCCTTGAACTGGAGAGAGTCCAGCGGAGGACAACCCAACTAATTAGGGGAATGGAGGACCAGAGCTATGAGACAAGGCTACTGAACTTAAACATGTTTACGCTGGAAGTAAGGAGATTAAGGGGGAATATGATTTTCATGTACAAGATGTTCAATGGTGACAGCAACATTGGCAACAAACTCTTTAAGATTAACTCCATTACAAAGACTAGAGGCCACCACCTAAAGTTGGTGGAGAAAAAATTCCAGCACAAGGGGCGAAGGGGGTTCTTCACAGTAAGAGCGGTTAGGATCTGGAACTCACTGCCACCGGCAGTGATTTGAGCTAAGGCCCCATTCACACTGAGCGACTTGCGATATTGAGCGACTTTTTCCTATTGGGCTGTATGCAATTAGGAGCAAAATTGCTCGAAAAAAGGGTCATGTAGGAGCTACAAACGATATTGAGCGATATTGAGCGACAAGATGTGTACAGCTCCATTGAAATGGATTGGAGAAGCTACATCGAGCGATATCGCTGCAAAAATCGCTCAGTGTGAATGGGGCCTAAGAGTGTGGAATTGTTCAAGAAACTTTTGGACGATTTCTTGAGGGACCGTAATATTCAGGGATACAAGTATTCCTAAGAATGAGATTATGCGTGGACCTATATGGCTTGGACTTGATGGACGTATGTCTTTATTCAACCCTAAATACTATGTAACTATGTAGCGCGTGCCGATTTCCCCAACCACGCTGGATGGAGGAATCTCCCCTACAGGATTCTGAATTCAGCAGCTAGTACCTGCGGCTGTCAGAAAACCCGAATGTGCATTTTTTCCCCCCATCATGTTTGACCACATAAGTCTTCATTATTATGAGAAAATGCTCCACTCAAATAAAAAAATAGGTGTTTCTAGATGATTTATGTTTAACAATGTCTTGTACCTTTCAGGAATTTAGACAGATTTAGATTTTCTACTTTTGTGTTGTTGCCATTATGAAGTGGGGAGTGTGATCCCCGAGATGCCTTGGCTCTTTTATATCTTAAGAAAGTGTTGTAGACGATCACCATTGATGCGACACCCTTACCGCTATCTACAAAATACCTGAACAGTGACTGCATAGGACTGACTGTCTTAAATTTTGGCCGATTCCGCAGAAAGCAACCAAAATTTGAGCCATGTATGGCTATCCTTAGAGTAATCATCTGATTGGTTAATACAGACTACAGAAGAGGCTTGTAAACGTCTTGCACTGGTAGTTGATGAGAGCTCAGTTCCTAAGGATGTAGGGACACCCCCAGAACTACGTCTCCTAAATATCCTGCTCCAAGACAACGTGTAGAACGCCTGCTAGGTGTCAAGGTAGCGGCACTACGTTTCTGGGAAATAAATCAATGTTACATGTGGATAGGGACAGAGTGGCTGCTGTTTGGGATTTCAGTACAGTGAAGGCACAGTGTTGTCAGCCCAGACAGGAATTTAGGAACACGCTGGATTTCAGGCAGATCAACAGGTATATTTCTGTACCTGCATCAGGTCTACATATTTGATCCACTAAAGGCTGGACTAGCAGCGTTAAGCAATGTTGCCGGTTTCTGGAACAATGCATATTGAGAAATCAGAGACATCCAGGAAACGGAGACTGCGTATGACAGCCGGCCATGTTCCCTGTCTGAGCCTGTTGTGTCAGGTGCCTATTCTTGTTAATCACATCATGTCTTAACGGAAACAGAAGTCTGCTTAATTGCATGGACTTAATTAAAATCTTCACAGCAGCTTTGACAAACGCAGTCATGTGAATCCCAGACGTCCCCGCGAACGCAACCGAAAGCCAGGCTTCTTCATTTATATTCAATAATTGAGAAGGATCTGGGAGGTCTGGCAGACCACAGACTTCATAAGAACAGGCAATGGCAAGCTGCACTTTATAAAGCAGAAAAATATTCTTGTGCGATGGAGACAGAGATCAGGGCAGGAGACAGAGATCAGGGCAGGAGACAGAGATCAGGGCAGGAGACAGAGATCAGGGCAGGAGACAGAGATCAGGGCAGGAGACAGAGATCAGGGCAGGAGACAGAGATCAGGGCAGGAGACAGAGATCAGGGGAGGGGACAGAGCTCAGGGGAGGAGACAGAGATCAGGGGAGGAGACAGAGATCAGGGGAGGAGACAGAGAAATCAGGGCAGGAGACAGAGATCAGGGCAGGAGACAGAGATCAGGGCAGGAGACAGAGATCAGGGCAGGAGACAGAGATCAGGGCAGGAGACAGAGATCAGGGCAGGAGACAGAGATCAGGGCAGGAGACAGAGATCAGGGGAGGAGACAGAGATCAGGGGAGGAGACAGAGATCAGGGGAGGAGACAGAGAGATCTACCCTGTACAAAGCATTAGCAAGACCCCAATCTACAATATGAAGTCCAGTTTTGGCCTTCAGATCACTATAAGGATTTTGTGGAATAGGAGAGAGAAGAGAAGTAGGGCTGCAACCAACTAATCGATAATAATCAATGCGATAATAATCAATGCGAATAGTTATCAACTATTCTCATCATCGATTAGTTGGGTGGACCCCCTAGCTCTCTCCTCCACGCTGGCACAGCAAGCAGTGGGCGGGTGCAAAAGCCAGCTGTATAAGAACCCCTGCTGCGATTAATACTTCTATTATCTTTTAGCTGTACAGGCATCAGCCTCCCTGCAGGTTGAAGCTGAGCAGGACTAGACATGTCCTCTACAAAAGGTGCAGGTCACCATTGATCCTTTCTTATCAAGCAATGGTGCAGCCTGTTAAACCATCTCTGTATTATGTCATGTGCACAGTTTCTGCCAATGCTTTGTGTGCTTAATGCGCCCAGCAAGTCACGGGAGTGACATTAGCCATTGTAACCTATGTAACCCACCTGAGCCCTGTGGCTTTTGTGCACATTGACAATGCTAGGGAGAGAAGACTCAGGTAGAGGATTTTATTTCGAACAAGTGATTGTTTGCTCTGCATGAAGTTCCACTTTTATGAAACCCTCTCACTGATATCAATAGGAAGCAGCAGAAATGCAATGCCAAGCACACTGCACAGCGATAAGCTGGCAAACACCACTATGGCAGCTCCCAGTGCTATAATGGAGGTAAGGCGGAGTGGCCAAGGTCAACTAATGGAAGTCTTTTAAAGGAAAATAGATCTCCCTTGAAGTCCTTGCTCTTCTCCGAATGGTCTCGGGTTGAACATTTCTGATAATGAAGCAGTGAAGGATTTTGCATTGTACACCCTATTCAGCAATTCAACACTTGTAACCCTTACAAAAACTTAATTTTCTTTTTTACCCAGAATGAGTACAACAGCAGCCCCAATCTTTCACGTGGCTGAATCATTTCACTCTTGACTGAGCATTAACATTCATGCAGAGGCAGATTTCATCTGTCTGCAGAAACTTGCATATGTTGCGTCAGCACAAAGTCAAGAACAAGCCCTACAGCAACCAGGTGACACATTTTATATACAGATGGACCAGCGGAGTACATCAGTGACACCTAGTGGACGCTGTGTCGATGTGCAAGACAACCGAGAAGTCCAGAGCCTCCTTCCCCAAGTCATAAGCCGCATACTAATTCCAGTGTTAATCATCTTTGTGAGTCAAGGGGCAGGCTTGGAATTAGCAGGCAGCATCTAGGACGAGTAACAGTTGCTCATAGAAGATATTTGGGGTAACAGCAGATTCCATTATCAAAACAAATCTAAGTGGGAACTCGGTAATACTGTGTAATCATGATGGTAATAGCTGCCGTGTCAGCTGGCAAAGTCAGCAAGAAGCATGCTAGTACCTCCAATAGCCACTAGGTGTCACTATGTGCGGTCTCTCTACAATAGAGCTACTGTACAAGCAGCAAAGTTAAAACTACAGCGCCACCTAGTGGACAAACTCCATAACGGATTACAGAATGTTTAGAGAAGACTAAATATAAAAGACCAAAAGAACCCATACATACACAATCATTATAAAATGATTAGGGTTATTTTTGCACAATAATTTATTTTAAAAATGACAAGGTCGTAGAAGTTCTCCATCTGCTCTGTTGTACTTATTTGTATTAGTGTTGTACATAAGACAGAGCAGCTAAAAACCGGATTGCTCTGTCCATACATATATGACACAGGGAGATCCATTCATATTAGGACTATCATTGAGTTAAGGAAGTTTGGTTTTAGAATGCCGCATCTTTCACACAATTAGTTATTGGAGCTTGTTTGAGCACAGTTTCCGTGGCTTTCGTCACCTACCGATCCGTGGACTGATATTTGGCTTGTCTTGCCAATAGCAAACATACAGTTAAGCATAACGGGGTGCAAGAGATTGGGGAGACTGCATGAACACCTCACCTTGTATAAGACGTTGGTGACAGGGCAGCAGTAAGCAGAACGAGGATTACTTTAGTCCTCTGTCTGTTCAGCTTTCTTCCAATTCACTTCAGAAAAATAAGAGTTTTGTTTTGGAAAAAAGTTTTTGGACAGCTTTGGTTTTTTTTTTTTTTTTTATGAGTGAAGCAGCGCCCATGGTATATATTTTCCCTTTTCTTATTGGCATAAAATTACAAGTTAAAAAAATGTAAATAATGGAGTCAACCTGTGACAACAGATCAGCCAACAGAAACTTGAGACAATGCGTGTGACCCAATGACTTGTATCTGTATATGTGATAATCATGGTAGAGGCATCCTATGACTGAACACTTACCCTGATCAATGGAGTGCTGGGGCAGCTGGCTGAGCTGGCTGGTGACCACTCCAGCATACGATCGCAGGAATGCTTCCTCACTAGGGGTGAGCTATGAGAGACATTGAAAAAAGCAGGTTAATTTGAGAGACCAAAGAGCTCACACTCACAGGTGGCTTTTGAAAACTTCCATCAGGGTGCTGCTTTGACTTCCAGCTACAGCACAGAAGGATGATGTCCCCTTACAATGGTGGTCAGTGGGAGAGAGGTCCCCTTACAATGGTGGTCAGTGGGAGAGAGGTCCCCTTACAATGGTGGTCAGTGGGAGAGAGGTCCCCTTACAATGGTGGTCAGTGGGAGAGAGGTCCCCTTACAATGATGGTCAGTGGGAGAGAAGTCCCCTTACAATGGTGGTCAGTGGGAGAGAGGTCCCCTTACAATGGTGGTCAGTGGGAGAGAGGTCCCCTTACAATGGTGGTCAGAGGGAGAGAGGTCCCCTTACAATG